TCAGAAGAAGACCTCAGCCCCTGAGCTAGCGCCTCTCTGAGCTACTCGGCTCTGGGAGTGCCCTCTGGACAGACTAATGAAGGTCTGTTTCATTTCCAACTTGTCCGGTGTGCTCCTTCCTGGGTGATTCTTGCGGCTGTTGAGCTCCTCAGAGCGGTTGGTAAGGCTCTTGGTCTTACACCTCCTATCTGCCACTCTGCGAGTCAAGATAGTTTGTCTACACAGAAGTCTTTTTTCATAAACGTCTTTGATTGTGCTGTCCTGGCTGCCTCAAGGTCCTGAACTGATTCAAAATGTTTCCTCTTCAAGATCATTTTTACCTAGGGGAAGAGCTGGAAGTCACGGGGGGTCAGATCCGGTGACTAAGATGGAGGAGGAGACAGCGTGGCGTTTTTACACAGCCTGCTTTTCTGTTGGACAGGATTTGGAAATCCAGGAAAGAGGATTCCAGAAATGCTTCAGAAGTTGTCAAGAACAATAAGATGCATGTGTCTGAAGTCAGGGTGAGTATTTAATAGTGACTAAGGGCAGTGTGTCTTTACTGTGATATTTTAAAAAACATGCACCACGTATCTGGATCACACCTCCCACGACAACCATGAAAGCCTCCCGGAGTGGAGGAGGGAGGAATGGAGCTCTGCCCCCAGCAGAATAGTCAGCAAGACAGGAGACCACTCATTCAGAAAGAGCGGCTGTGCTCACAGCAAGTGCAGCAGGGCCTAGTTTACCCTAAGTAAAAACCATCCCATGCGGCGTGGATTGTCCTCGGGAGCCCCACCCACTCCTCAGATGTGCGCCAGCTGCGCCCCGCCTGGACGCTCCTGCTCCTCCCGCTCAGCCCACTGCTGGGCCGAGGCCGTGTGGGGACGCCCTGCGGCAGAGGAGTAGAGAAACACGGAGGAGCGGGGGACAGACTGCGTCTCGGCTCCACGCCTCTCTCCTGCGTTCTTCCCATCAGCCCTAGAAACTCCACCATGGCCAGCTGGGCCTGCTGGGTTGAGTCACGCGTCCGATTCCATCAACCGTGTCCTTTCCAGGGCACTCTCTGTTATAATTTTGATCATTTGTCTTTTTTTTCCTCATTGAGTTTATTGGTACATTTTGGGTCTACAGTACAGTTACATTCATTGTTGGGATCTTGTACCATTACATGAAAGGTCTTGGTTCTCATTTTTTCCCCATTCCCCAACCCTCCCTTCACCCCCTCCACCCTCCCTATTTACAGAGACTTTATTTCCATTTTTTCTTTCTTTCTTTTCTTTTTTCTTTTTTTTTGGTTTTTTGAGACAGGGTCTCACTACGTAGAGACTAACCTGGAACTCACTATGTGGCCCAAGCTGGTCCCAAACTCACAGTGATCCTCCTGCCTCAGTCTCCCAAGTGCTGGGATTACAGGCCTGAGCCACCACGCCCAGCTTTCTCTTATTTTTTCTTTTGCCTTATTACCTTTCCCCTCCCCTCCCAGTTCCCCTACTCCTTTCGACCTTTTCTTCCTATTACACAATACCAATTATACATTTTAAACCTTATTTACACTTTTACTTTTCCACAGGAGAGAAACGATTCGGTATTTATACATGTGTCTTATTAATTTCACTTAAGAGGATGGCCTCAGTGTACATCCACTTAGCTATAAATGTCTCTAGTTTCTCATTCTTTATGGCTGAGTAGTGCTCTGCTTTATTTTAAAAACACCACATCTTTATCCAGTTTCCAGGTGATGGGCAATTGGGCGGTTTCCAAGGTTTAACTATTATAAACTGTGCCGCTATGAACATGGGTGCACATATATCACTGTGGTATGATTTTAAGAAATCATTTGGGAAGAGACCCAACAGAGGGATACCTAGGTCAAATGGAATTTCTAATCCTAGTTCTTTGAGGTATCTCCATATTGATTTCCACAGTGGTTGTACCAGTCTGCACGCCCACTAACAATGAAGAAGGGTTCCTTTTGTCCCACAACCCCACCAGCATTTATTATTGGTTGATTTCTCGATAGCAGCCATTCTTTCTGGGGTGAGGTGGAATCTCAGTGTTGTTTTCATCTGCATCTCTCGAATGACCAGTGATGGTGAACATTTTTTCATATATTTATTTGCTGCTTTTACTTGTTTGTCTTAGAAATGTCTGTGCATTTCAGATCATTCGTCTTTTAAATCATTATTATTGCATTAACATAGTGTCTAAGAGTCACATGAACACCCCAAGATATGTGGGACGTATTGCTGGCAGGTGCTGGGTGAGGCCTAGAAAACAAGCTATGTGTAAAAGTGGCTATATCGAGGGGAAGACTCATGGATTTTGTTCCATGTATGGACTTCCAGCTCCGTGCTATGTGCCGTGCTCTGGATGATTAACACACAATAATTTACTCCAAATAACTCGATGCAGTGGATGGCACTAACACCTCTAAGGTGGGACAACATCTAAAATACAACTGTGTAGAAAACATCAGCAGGCAGGGCGTAGTTCATAAAAATGTTGGCCCAGGTCTGAAGCTTGAACAATGTGTTAGCATTTAGCAAGGAGGCACGGAAGGGAAAGTCTTTTGAAATAAAAAGTCTTTTAAAATAAAAAGAATAACTTGCAACATGTTGGAGAGGAAATGTCAAGGTCAGAGGGATATAAACTGTTCAGTGCACTTGGAGCCTAATAAAGTATACAAGGTGAAGAGGAGAGACAGACGCGGGCGGGTGCCTTAAGGTGATTTCCGGCCCAAGAAAGGAATTTGTAGTTTGCCTACCATACCAAGGGGAAGGATTCTTGGGATAACTTGTGGGGAGTGGCTCTGTAGCTGATTCCCCTTTCCTCTAGTCCTGCCAACCACTGGGGAAATGAGATCTCATACCTGAGCGCTGCCTCTGCCCTTCTGCGAGCCGCTCAGCACCGCCTGAGACACCATCAGAACCCGGATACAGGATGGAAATCAACTGCTTCACGAGGAGCCAATTTCATTCAGCTGACTCTTTTAAAAAAGCGTTCATGAAGAAAATAACAATGGGTTCGCTTCTGCTTTGAGTTCCCTATTGCTATGGACCAGCTTTTGGGGGGTCCCTGTTTAGAGGGGGTACCCCAGTTCTGGCTGAGCAGCAGCTGATGGGGCATCAGGTACACCTTGCTCTGTGCTCCAGACCCTTCTCCCGCCTGACCCATCACAGCTCCTGTGCCGGTGAAGGGTCCTCATCCCTAGCCCTCGGGGGGCGCTCCCATGAAAGCGTCCGGGAAATAACTTTTCGGGAGTGGAGAAAATTAAATGGAGATAATCAACAAGCACAGAGGCGATCAGAATTTTCCAGAGGAGGCCCAGGAGGCAAAGGAGTGATTTAGTGGGTTCCTAACAGAATTTGGGTGTAGGGGATTGGCTGCCTCGGCCTCCTAGGTTGCCAGGTTTACAGGTGTGGCCACCTCCTCGGTGAGAAAGAGTCGCACTTGGGAGATCAAAGACCCTGGGAAGAGAGGCCCAGCATTGGCCTGGGGACATCTCCCACCATCTTCGCTGTGGCTGATGCTCCCACTTCCCCCTCACACAGAAAGAGGAAGAGCTGGAGTGTCGCGAGCCGCGACCTCAGGATCCTGCCAGCAGCTCCTAAACCTGCAAGGATGAGGACGGAGACGGGAGGCACTTTTCTCATGTTCCTTGCTTGCGTTATTACAGAACCTCTCCCTTTTATACTCTCCAGCTGCATGGAAGCGAGGGCTGCACGGGAACGACGTCAGGATCCTGCCAGCAGCTCCTAAACCTGCAAGGACGAGGACGGAGACGGGAGGCACTTTTCTTCTCATGTTCCTTGCTTGCGTTATTACAGAACCTCTCCCTTTTATACTCTCCAGCTGCATGGAAGCGAGGGCTGCACGGGAGCGAGGGAGCGAGGGTACCGCCCACACATTCCAGAGGGAAACAACAACCACCATTATGGGTTACATCTGCTACCAGCTGAACTCGCCCGTGGCTATGGGTGAGAGCACATCCCTGCCAGCGAGGTGACTCAAAGTTCAATCATGGCTAGGCCTGTGTCAAGGCTCACCATAATGGCTCGCCATACTGGAGGGTGCCCCCAGGCCCAGCTCGCACCCCTCCACACCCCGCCTTGGTGCTCAGATGCTGTCTCCAGGGATGCCCTGGTTGTGACCCAGGCGAGGTCACCAGGCCACAGGCGTCGCCCCTGCCCTGCTCCAGCTCTGAGCCGCTGCCTCCTCCTCCAGCTATGTCAGCTCTCCTCTGTTCCTCCCGGATGGCATCACCCCCTGGAACATGCCAGAGATCTAAAAGCAAAACCAACCTCCACTTGTCCTTTTTGTATCTGCAACTACCACCCAGGTTTTCTGTCTCTCCTCAGAGCAAAGCCAGCGACACTGTCACCCCCTGCCCTGCAGAGACCTACACACGAATCCTGCTGCTGACCTGGATTCTGGTACCCAGAGTTGCGAGGTGCAGAAGCAGTCAGCTTTGATGTTCCAACTGACATTTCAGGACGTGGAGAAGACAGGTGACCACTTCTTGAAAATGACCTCTATGGCGAGCTATTATGGTAAGCCTTGACACAGGCCTAGCCATGATTGAACTTTGAGTCACCTTGCTGGCAGGGACGTGCTCTCGCCCATAGCCACGGGCGAGTTCAGCTGGTAGCAGATGTAACCCATAATGGTGGTTATTGTTTCCCTCTGGAATGTGTGGGCGGTACTCTCGCTCCCATGTAGCCCTCGCTCCCTCGCTCCCTCGCTCCCTCGCTCCCTCGCTCCCTCGCTCCCTCGCTCCCTCGCTCCCTCGCTCCCTCGCTCCCTCGCTCCCTCGCTCCCTCGCTCCGGTGCAGCCCTCGCTCCCATGCAGCTGGAGAGTATAAAAGGAAGAGGTTCTGTAATCAAGCAAGCAAGCAAGCAAGGAACATGAGAAGAAAAGTGCCTCCTGTCTCTCTGTCCTCGTCCTTTCCGGTTTAGGACCTGCTGGCAGGATGCTGATGTCACAGCTCGCGACAAGTGGCGTCCGAACAGGGACCTGAAAGTAGATGAGGATATGTAATCCCGGACCCAGGTCGAAGGCAGCGACGGTGCTCCGGAGGACTGACCGCTGCGCCTGATCCTCGCAGTAAGTCTACTGTTCACTTCATGAACCCCGTACCCAGGTCGAAGGTAGCGATGGTGCTCCGGAGGAAGGTAAAAAGAAAAAAGTGATAGAAGGTAGAGAGTGTCAAGTCCATTAGGGAAGAAAAAAAAAAAAAGAAAAAGAAAAAGAAAAAAAAAGAAAGAAAAAAAATGGGACAATCAGAATCCAAAAGTTATCTAGCAAATTCAATTCAGAGCCTACTGAAGGTGCAAGGAGTAACAGTTGAGAGGGCAAGATTAGAGGCCTTTGTTAAGATTCTGGACACAATTTGTCCATGGCTATGTGATAAGGCAGAAATAAACGCTGAAGTATGGGAAACAGTTGGAAATCATTTGAATGAAGCCCTTCTGGCCAAGCCCAATCATTTTCCAGAAGGTGCTCCTCTTTATTGGACTTTGTTAAACGCAGCTCTCAGGACGCCAACCAAAAAGGAAATCTTGGAAGCCTTAGACGAGGTGCATGAAGGGTTAAGGACCAAAGACAATCTTCCGGTGTTACTTTGTGGGATGTTGTTACAAACTCTGTTAATCCCTTAAAGATAAAGATTGTGAAGGCTCCTCCTAAGAGCTAATTCTTCCTGCTTTTCCATCTTATGTGCTTACGTCCACAAATAGAACATTAATAGTAAATGAGTCAGAAAAATATTAGGAAAGCTATAAGTAAGACTTATGCTTTTGCATCTTGTTAAAAACAGGTAGAATAGAACATTAATAGTAAATGAGACAGAAAAATATTAGGAAAGCTATAAGTAAGACTTATGCTTTTGCATCTTGTTAAAAACAGGTAAAGAAAGATATACAAGACCAGAAGCCCTAAGTGTATAGAGGTGTGTAAAAATCATTTACAGTCAAGAAGAGCTTTCATTCCTTTAACCCTAATTCTACAAGAGATCTCTGTTAATTTTGATCTGCAAAAATTTTGACTAGTCATAACAAAAAGATTTTATAATTCAATTGGCCAAAACCATCTGAGTACACTCGTTAAAATTGTCTTATATGTCTGTCTTAAGTGTTATGTTTGTCTGTCTTAAATGTTCAAAGATGTTTGTATGTTCTTGATCAAGATGATGTCAAATATAAATAGATTGTTGATTTCTACAACCTGGCTTTATAGGATCAAATAAAAAACTTAAATATAAGTAAATACAAATCTTTAAGTTTGGATACGCTCCTGTTGGTAAATAAAGAAGCAGCTACTCAGAAAATTTATTCTGATCTTTGTTCACTAATGGGAGCCACCAAAATAATTTTTATAGCCTTATAAAAAGATATATCTTGTTAAATATGTTGTTAAAAATGTTTAATTGGCTATTTTCAAAGGTCTGAATTATAAATATATTATTGTAATATGTTTCTGATGGTTATTTTCTGTTAAAAAAAAAAGGAAGATCCTATTGATAGAAAGCTACATTTCAGGACATAAGAATTCCTATCTGGTATACAAAATGTATTCATATTGTTTGACCATGTAGGTTTTCCAGCATATTGTTTATGAGAATAACCTTTTGGTCCAGGTATTCTCCTTCTCTTCTGCTCCACCTACTTATGGTTACAGGTATATTTATAGATCCGCTGCTATCCCTGAATAGCTTGAATCTGGAGACCGAATTGGGACCCCAACATTGAAGCAGCAGAGAGAACTCCAGGATGTGTCTTGGTGCACAAGCGGAGACTTTATTGTCCAGAACAAGGATTCATTGGAACTGGTTTGGCTATATTTCAGCAACAAATGGACTTATTAAATGAAGTAGTTGAAGGATTATGGTTGCATACTCGATTGGACTGTGATTCCAGATTTCAACAGCTCTACTCCCTTTCCTGTCAAAAACCATTCTGAGGAAGTTAGACGACTTTCTTCATTGTTGCGAGGGTCTTGGAATCGGACATTTCTAAATGCAACTAATCAGTTGTCATTGGACATTGAGGTCTTGTCTGGTGTTCATGCCAATTCTATCCGGCTTGATTTAGATTTTGCTACAGAAGTTTGG